CTTATTTTGAAAACACATGGATAAATTCACAAAATTTTAGAAAACAAGGATAAAACCACCATTTTGATACAAAATAGGGGCATGAATGCAAGAGCCCCTTATCTCTACTCTTAAAATGAACTCGGAGCTAATAAAACTATTATATTTGGTTTCACTGGCTCCGGCTTCAGCTCTATCTCTGGCTCCTCCGTGCACACCAAGGACCCGGAGCTATTTCGTGATGTGCCAAAGCAGTTTATAAGTTTATGACCCATTAAGAAAGTATGAATTTCGTAGAAATTAGAATTCAATTTATTTTCAAAAAAAAAAAATAGGAAATAGAAAATTTTCTCTATTCTAAAGGGCCTTAAATTTAATGGAAATATCTATTAGTTGCACATGCATCGAGATTCTAGGATTACTAAACCAAATATATGATTTTCAATCAGTTTTCGCCATCATATTCCTTATGATTTTATCGCAAAACAAGATCACACATCACACATGGCTATGTTCAGCTGAAGAAAAATATATGTGGACCCTACACATTGTACATGTAGTTGTGACAAAATTTCACGTGATTCTCATCAAACAAAAATCGGAAGGGCTAGCGCCCGTACGTTCGGACGGGACGTCGTGTCCGAACGCAGCTCCCCTGCCCGCATCTCGTCCCACGCCCCGCGTCCCCATCCCGCCCCACGACCCCGCATCTACATCCCGCCTTAGCGCCAAATGCCGGAATACGTCGTCTGTAGCAGGACCGCGCCCATAACCCACCCAGCGCAAGATGGGGAACCCACGTGGTGACCACAATTGCAGCGCCCAATAGAAGACAATAGGTGGTCTGCGATGTCAGTAGCCCACCAACCACCGGTGCCGTGCAACACTCCAATCTACTTTTGAAACATCCAGATGAAACATTTGCAACATATGTCAGAAATAAATGAAATACTTGACACATGCGCTCGAAACATCCGTGTATAGGCATAGCAACATATATAACATCTAGATCTACTTCTACAACATACAGATAAAACACTAGCAACATAAGTATGAAACATATGAAACACTTGAAACACACGCTTGAAACATGCGGGTAGAGCCATAGCTCCAGATGGAACACTTGAAACATACGTCTGAAAACACCTGAAACACTTGAAACATAGGATTGCAACATGCATTTATTGTCATTGTAATATATGCAACATCCCAGATCTGCTTTTGCAATATCCAGATGAAACACTTGAAACATAAGTCTGAAATGCCTAAAACACTTGAAACATAGTGTCGCCAGCGACCATGGCCTACTGAGAGGTCCTTGCTTGGTTTTGGTAATTGAGTGACAATCCTAGGTGAACTAATTGTGTTTATGTGAGATGCACAGGTGATTAGTCCACAGGTATATGTGTGTGAGCAACATATGCCATGGAGGTGGAAATGGCTCGGAGATGTTGCAAAGCTCACACATGTGATGATGAAGGAGCTCATTGCACATGAGACATGACATTGAGTCATGTGATCAAGGTGGAGAAGATTAAGACATGACTTGGCTTGATGGACCGATTGCAAGCGTGAAGGGCAAGTTGGAGGCTTTGGAGCGATGGACCGCGTGGCGGTAAAGCTTGAGCAAGACTTGACGCCGATGGACGAAAGCAACGGTGAAAAGCAAGTGAAGTCAAGATCGATGAACCAATATGATCACATGATGATATGAAGTGGATCATATCATTGTTGATCATGTTGGTGCATGGGTTGCATCGACATTGGAGGAGATAGAATGGAATGCGCAAGGCAAAGGTATAACATCGGGCATTTCATTTCACCGGTCATAAGTGTGTAGAGAAATTGATGACCGAATTTAGGATAGATGACCGTACTATTAAGAGGGATAAACTTGTTTGCATATCGGTCATCTAGTGCCACTCGAGTGATCTAACTTTGTATCGTCGCTAGGATCGAGTGGCGTGGCAAGTTGAGTGGCTAATCCTTTGAAAAATGTTTGTGAAAAGTTAACACACATACATATCATGGTGTACACTTGGTGGTGTTGGCACATTTGCAAATGAGAAGAAGTTAGAGTTGATAAGGATCAACTCGGTGAAGAAAAGGAGGCGAAAGGAGGTCACTATGAGTGACCGAACTGAAAGCTATAGTTTGGTTTTAGTGATTTGATGAAACCCTAAGTGCTAACCTAGTTTATCAAAGTGATCATGAGATAGGTATCACATTCTAAGTGGTGAAGCAAATGAAGATCAAGACATGATGATGGTGATGTCATGGCGATGATCAAGTGCTTGGACTTAAAAAGAAGAAAGAGAAAAACAAAAGGCTCAAGGCAAAGGTATAAGTGATAGGAGTCATTTTATTTTGGTGATCGAAACACTTAGTGAGTGTGATCACATTTAGAATCGATAGCCGTACTATTAAAAGGGATGAAACTCGTATCGAAATACGGTTATCAAAGTGCCACTAGATGCTCTAACTCATTGCATATGCATTTAGGATCTAGTGGAGTGCTAACACCCTTAAAAATGTTTGTGAAAATATGCTAACACATGTGCATAAGGTGATACACTTGGTGGTTGGCATATTTGAGCAAGGGTGAAGAAGATAGAGTTTAAAAGGAGTTAGTCTCGCTGGTCATGCAGTGACCGGACGCTGAGGTCCTGCGTCCGGTCAATGGAAGTAGTGAAAATGTTGGCGTCGGTCTTCGACCGGACGCTTGGGTCACTTAGTGACCGGATGTTGATGGGGTGCGTCCGGGCCTGCTGATGTGGCAGCACACAGAGGAGACGCCAAGTGATCGGACGCTGGGTGAGTCCGGTCAAGCTCATGATTTTTCGCTTCTGGATGCTTACTAGAAACGACCGGACGCTGAGGTCCTGTGTCCGGTCACTTCGCAGCAGCGCGTCCGGTCATCACTTGACCGTTGGGATCGGGCGCTTAGTATTTGAAGAGAGGGGACACATGGTGTGCATCGCATGACCGAACGCTGGGGTTCAGCGTCCGATCGATCTGACCTACGCGTCCGATCGCCCCGTGTTCAGTGCAGTGAGGATCCCAACGGCTCTATTCATGGGGGCTCTCTATTTAAGCCCTATGGCCGGCTCTAGCTCACTCTCTTGGCCATTTGCATTGACATAGCAACCTTGTGAGCTTAGCCAAAGCCCTCCCACTCATCTCCATCATAGATTCAACATCTTTGTGAGATTTGGAGTGAATCCAAATGCATTGCTTGAGTGTTTGCATCTAGAGGCACTTGGTGTTCATGTTTCGCTGCGGGATTCACTTGTTACTCTTGATGATTGCTGCTAACCTAGATGGCTTGGAGCAGCAAGGATCATCGAGCGGAGGTTGGTGATTGTCTCCGGCTCCGATCGTGGTGATTGTGAGGGGTTCTTGACCTTTCCTCGGCGGAGAGCCAAAAGGTACTCTAGTAAATTGCTCGTGGCTTGTATGATCCTCATCTTGTGTTAGTTGTGTGGCACCCTATTGAAGGGTTTGGCTTGTGATGCCAATTAGCGCGTGGACCTCTAAGTGAGTGAATCACCACAACGAGGACTAGCTTGTCAGAAAGCAAGTGAACCTCGGTAAAAATTTATTGTGTCATTATTTAATTTTGAGGTGATTGGTCTTCATTGGTATTCTTTCTTGTGATTGATTGGGTCACTCCTCGACTCGATGGTATAACCATCTTGCTCACTCTCTTTACATTACCGCAAACTAGTTATCAAGCTCTTTAGTGTAGCTTGTTAGTTTGGTTAGTGTGGCTCTTTAGTTAGCCTTTGAGAGCACACTAACTTAGTATAGTGACATAGCCACTGTGTGGTTAGAAACTATAGAAACAAGAATTGTGGTAGGTGGCTTGCATTTTTAGTAGGCTAGCGCAACACTTGCTTTGTCTTATAATTGTCTAACCGGTTTGCTAAATGTTGTTGTAGAAATTTTTAATAGGCTATTCACCCCCACTCTAGCTATTAAGACCTTTCAAGTGGTATCAGAGCCGAGGTCACCGTGATTTGAGGCTTAACAACCTTCGGTGTAGAAATGGCTCAAATCAACAACATAAAGAAGACACCCCAATTTGATGGCTCAAACTATCCCTATTGAAAGGCTAAGATGACAACATATATCAAGTCAATCAATAGGAAGGTTTGAAAGGTGATGGAGACCAAGATTGAGATTGAGGATGAAGAGGCTCCCACCACCGTCGAAGAGATGCTACTCTAAAATAATGAGATTGCCCTTAGTGCCATCCATGATGCTTTGGATGAAAGAATATTTGAGCAAATCAAGAATATTAAGAGAGCTCATGAGACATGGAAGAAATTGGAGGAATCATTTGAGGGCACTCAAGCCGTGAAGGGTGCAAAGGCATACATTCTCAAAGAGAAGTTTGTAAGCTTCAAGATGAAGGAGGATAAGAGTGTGCCAGAGATATTTCATAGGCTTCAAGTGCTTGTCAAATATCTCAAAGCACTTGGAGAAGAGGTGAAGGACAAGGACTTCTCCCACAAGTTCTTGAGATTCTTACCTTCAAGATTTGGCATATTAATCACTATTCTAGTGAGGAATGGTTTGGACACCATAACATCAAACCAAGTGTTGGGAGATATAATGACCGATGATACATATAGAGAAGATGATGAGAAGGAAGAAAAGAAGGAGAAGAAAGATGAGAAGAAGGATGAGAAGAAGAAGAGCGTGGCATTCAAGGCCACATCATCCAAGGGCAAGACAAAGCAAGAAACATCAAGTGAAGATGATGGCTCTCTTTGTCAAGAGATTTGACAAGTTTATGGTGAAGAAGGGCTACCGTGCTAGAAGAAAGAAATCTTCATCCAAGAACAAGGAAGAGTCAAGAAGGTGCTTTAATTGTGGAAGCAAAGATTATCTTATTGCTCAATGCAGCAAGGGCCAATGTAGTTTGTCAGCAAAAATGGACCAATGTAGTTTGTCTGTATCATCCTGAAATTTGCATGCAGTAAGGGCAATAAACAATTAGCAGAAAGACAAAAAATTTAATGCTGACAAACAACATCATTTGATGACGCAATGATTTTCTTTTGCTGGGACACTATCAAGTGAAGCACGTACTCATCAAGACCATCCTCAGTAATTCGATGCGACCTCGCTAATATTCCAGCATTATTTACCAAAAGCTGAATAGAAGGCTCCAAATTTTTCTCCTGAACCCATTGCTTGAGAGAACTTCCAAACTTCTTAATTGACTTGAAGGATGCCAAGTCGACCTGAAACTCTTTGAGATAGGCATCTGGCTGTTGCCTCTGAATTTCTTGAACAGTCTGCTTCACAGGGTGTGACAATGACGACAAGAGTAAACAGTAGCAATAACAACATCTAGTGAAAGATCTCTACATAATACCTCGTGTAAGAACTGCGTGGAACGTCCAGCTGACACAGAAAAAAAAATAGAAGTGCATTCGGGTTCAGTAACTAAATCAGTAGAAAGCTATTGGCTCATTGAACATTAATATCAAGTCTTGAGCGCATGAAAAATAGGAATAAAAGATACTACGCATTGGCAGTTGACATGGATGGGTAAACCCATGAAGAAGAAAAGGGCAAATTTCTACTCTAATGACTATGGCAAGGATACAAACGAATGAAATTGGAACGAAATCCAGAGCAACAGGGGGCGAGCTGAATCCCGTGTGTAAGCAAGCAATGAGCAATGAATACTAAGACACTAAAACCGTTTGCAGGTAGTTTGGTAGATTCATCGAAGGCCATGGCTACTAAGACGCTAAAACCGTTGCAGGTAGTTTGGCAGATTTATCGAAGGCCATGGCTAGAAGAAAGGAGGGCAACCTGGCGCTCTGAAAGCTCGGAGTAGAACAGTTTCTATTTTTTTTAAATGATAAACTAAAGAGAAGCACCACACCTGCTCGACGGAATGCCAAGGCAAGAATAAGAACAAGAAGAGAGACGCGACTGACTCACCAAGCACGACGTGGTAGCCCTCCCGCGCGAGCGCCGCCGCCGCCGCCCTGCCCAGCCCCGACGTCGCCTGCAAGCGCCACAACGGGAGACGTCGTCATGCGGAGGAAGAAAGAGAGAGAGAGGGGGCAGACGGGCACGCGTGAGATGCGAGAGGGCGGGTATATACATACCCCCGTGACGACGCAGATGGGACAGCGGCCTTCGGCGGGCCGGGGCTGCCGGCGGCGAGGGGCGGCCGCCCGGCCGCGGAGGAACACGAGGAGGTAGGAGTGGAGGAGGGAGAGGGCCCAGAGGACGGCCATCCGCCAGAACTGCGTCGAGCACATCATGCGGGGCGCCTCGCGGTCCATGGCTGCCGGTGTGCCGTGGACTCGGTCCACGGGAAGCTGTGACGGGCGGGTAGGGTGTTCTCAGGGCTTTACTTCATTACTTGGACCACGACCCGGTCCACGTCAACGAATGCGGGCGGAGAGCAGCGGCGGCCGGAGAGCTGAGAGAGAGATGGTGCGCTTGGTTTTGGCGGCGGCCGGGCGCACCGCATAGGGAATTGGGACATGTTTAGATTGCGAATTTTTTTGCAAAATAAACTGTAGCATTTTTCGTTGTTATTTGGTAATTAGTGTCCAATCATAGTCTAATTAGGCTTAAAAGATTCGTCTCGTGAATTTCGTCTAAACTGTGTAATTAGTTTTATTTTTTATTTTTATTTAATGCTTCGTGCATGCGTCCAAAGATTCAATGTGACGGAGAATTTAAAAATTTTGGCAAAATTTTCTGGAACTAAACTGGACCCTGGCAAAAGGCTCGATCACTAGCACAAAACATTGGATCTTTGTTTCCCCACAATGAGCACATTCTAGATTTGGTTATAAATTATGTTGTCAACGGTCAGGGTCTTCTCCTCTCCGTTTCTCATGATCAACACAGTATATAAAAAATATACATAGACACAAAAGATAGAAAGACTATTCTTTATTTCTCTTAATATTGGTAATTACAATATAGAGCTTCCACATATATATAGTCATGTTAAGGTTTAAGAGTTTGGTAAGAACCCACATACAAAATGGACTAGGATTATGATTCATCCTTCTCCTTTCATTCTAGGATTAAATCCGTATGTTTTACAACACTTTCCCTTGGACGATTACCACAATATGCACGTGTCTTGTTAAAAACTCTATCCGAAAATTCAGTGGAAAAATGGTTCTCGGAGAAAAAGAGTACAACACAATCATTAATTGTATTGCACATGTTATCTTATTAAAAACCTTGTGTGAGAAACCTTCAAATAAAAATTCACATAGGAAAAAAGAGTACAACATTTAACCTTCTTGGTTATGTATTCTTCGGGATATTCTATTGAGAGAATTCCTTATTTGACACTGAGAAAATGAGTCGTTCCTTTTTTTGCTCTGAAATTTTCTTCGTTTCCTATTTGACACTCACTTCAACTTTCGTTCCTAATTTGACACTGCCGTCAAATCCGTTAGCTAATGGTGTTAACTGGCCGTTAAAAAGACGTTTTTGCCCCTAGAAAAAAAACGGCGAAGCAAATTTGAGAGGAAAAAAAACCTGCGCCCGCCTCTGACGCATGCGCCCAGCTACAAAAAAAAGGCGCAGGTTTTTTTTCCTCTCAAATTTGCTTCGCCGCTTTTTTTTCTATGGGCAAAAACGTCTTTTTAACGGCCAGTTAACACCGTTAGCTAACGGATTTGACGGCAGTGTCAAATTAGGAACGAAAGTTGAAGTGAGTGTCAAATAGGGAACGAAGAATATTTCAGGACCAAGAAAGGAACGACTCATTTTCCCAGTGTCAAATAAGGAATTCTCTCTATTCTATTCTTCATGAATAGATATTGATGTTCATGATCTATGCATAAACTTTAATATTTTAGCAAATATGATCTACTTGATCTTTGTAATTATAGTGGTTTACCTTCAAGATAGATTCAATAAAATATGCTTCCCTCATAAAGTCATACTTTAAACTTCAGTGTTCAAATCACACTTTTCATAAATATGTGCTTAATTAATAGTATGTAGTACCATAATACTATATCTTTCAAAAGTTGGCTCACAATTCTTCTATGAATTATAATATGAGTATAAACAAGAGCAATATGCTTCATGCATAATGACCACTTAGTTTTGCAAAACAAAATAAATTTTATCTTTTAGAGTAATAAATCCTTTCAGAGGATTATGGGGTAAATAAGTTATAATATTCAATATCTTCTATATAGTGTATCAACTTATACTAGAGTTTGAATACTTACCATTCCTCATTAGTAGATTTTCAAGTTATATATTCTATAAATCTTTAGGATTTTAATTATATCACTAATTAACGAATTCAGTCTTGTATTTGGCATTTAGATGATAATTCATTTGCCGAATCATCAATGTTCTTATACCTTCTATGGTATTTAGAGGATATCAATACTTAATTGCCAGCTTTATAATATATATTTTTCTGAGTGTTTGTATGACACCTTTATGGTGTTTAGAATTCCTCATTTCTTTCTCTCGGGTCTATATTCACTTCAGGAATTATTGGAGTTTATTCAAGAATCGACCGGTAAATCCTTCATGGATTAATTCCTTCAAGAATGTTCTTATTTTTTGGTGAATAATATTTCTCTTCTATGAGATATATTCTCTACTACATGAGAGATTATTATGTGATATACACAATGAGATAGTGTTACTCACTACTAAGTTATTGGATGACTATTCATTCTAGGACATGCTCTTCTTGAGACTAATATTTAGGAGGTGTCATATGAGGGTGTCACATGGGGTGTTCGGATACTAATAAAAAAACAAATTACAGAATCCGTCGGTACTCCACGAGACGATTTATTTTCATAATGTACGCGCTCCTTGCAGTTGATGGTTGGTGCACTACTGCTGTGCATGTGAGGTCGCCTGACGCTGCATGGTTTGGTTTCATCGATCAGATCAATCGTTTACCGACGACTTCATCAACTATCTTAAATTTAAATTTGATTAACTTTATAGAAAATAGTATTAATATTCATCACTCCAATCAAATAGATACATTATAAAAATATATTTGATAACAAACCTAATAGGTATTCAGTGTGATAAATATTAGTATCTTTTTTATATAAATTTATATAGTTAACCTTTAGATCATTTAACTTAGCGTTGTTCTAAAACAAGTAAAGTCCACAGCGGCCTCTTAAACTTGTTCATCTATGTCATCACAGTCTCTAAACTTGTAAACTTGTTCGACTGCCGATCCCTAAACTTGAAAATTGCATATTTAGATTCTTACACTCGTTTGGCCATATCATCTTGAGTCCTAGACTCGCTAACTATCTATTTAGGTAGTCAATCTATGTTTGGATCTAAAGGGTGATTTGCAAATTAAGATGACACAATTAAACAAGTTTGAGGACCTAAGCAGGCGATTTGCATGTTTAGAGATCAGAATGATATAGTCAAACAAGTTACCAATTATAATCTAAATGGACGATTTACAAATTTAGAGACCAGAATGACATAGCCGAACAACTTTTGAAGAACATAATAAGCTTTACTCCCTCTGTCTAAAATAGAAGTCGTTTTCGCTTTCCAAGAAGTTATCTTTTTTAACTTTAACCCATTATAGAAAAGGGTCATGGCATGGGGAAAGGAACACTACTGAACCATACTACTGGTTGGAACGGATTAGTAGTACCTAATAGCAAGGGATGTGACTACTGAGCAAGACTCAGGTCAATCATGTCGCACACGCAGCAGCATAGGCAGCAAGGAGAGGCAGCAGTGAATCACGTCACAGGTCGCACATGCAGCAGTGAATCACGTCCCAAGTCAATCACGTCGCACACGCAGTAGCAAGGCATGGGTGGTGAATCAACCAGACAGCGACTGCCGCGCCAAGATCGGTGGTGCGGCAGACCCTACCACGTCACCGGTCCGCGCTTCGGTCGTCGCCACGTCAGCCCTCTCGCCGCGCCACCATGCATGGCGCGCCATAGGCATTTGGCTGCGCCATGGCAATAGGCGCGGCCAAAAGTGTTAGATTTGAAAATAAAAAATAGCCCGTGTTAGATTTAGAATTAGTTTTAAAAAAGTGTTAAAATTAAAAAAATATTCACGTGGAGTGGGTGCATCCGATCCTACTAACATGGCAGCGTAGAGAAGAGGAGAAGGACCGAACGCTGTTGCTGTGTCCGATCGTGACCGATCGAACGCGTCCGGTTATAGTTGAGCAGCTCTGGGAGCTCTCTGGAATCGACCAGATGCTGCCCCTCCTGCGTTCGGTCGTGATCGAACTAACGCATCCGGTCGCGACTGGAACCTTACTGAAAGTGACCAGACATTGGGGTCCTATGTCCGGTCCTACACTATAGAGCGTCCAGTCACAACTTAAGTGTACTGATGACCGTTGAGATCGGGCAATCAGCATTTGAAGCAGGGGACACGTGGTAAAAATCTGAGGACCGGACGCTGGGGTCCTGCGTCCGGTCAAACCGATCGGTGCGTCCGGTCACCTCAATTTTTAGTGGACTGAGGAGCCAATGACTCTATTTCATGAGGCTTCTATTTAAGCCCCGTGGCCGGATCAAGCTCTCGCTCTTGGCCATTTGCATTGACATAGCAACCTTGTGAGCTTAGCCAAAGCCTTCCCACTCATCTCCATCATTGATTCATCATCTTTGTGAGATTGGGAGACAATCCAAGTGCATTACTTGAGTGTTTGCATCTAGAGGCACTTGGTGTTCGTGTTTCGCTGTGGGATTCTCTTGTTACTCTTGGTGGTTGCCGCCACCTAGACGGCTTGGAGCAGCGAGGATCATCGAGCGAAGGTTGGTGACTGTCTCTGGCTCCGATCATGGTGATTGTGAGGGGTTCTTGACCTTTCTCCAGCGAAGAGCCAAAAGGTACTCTTGTAAATTGCTTGTGGCTTGTGTGATCCTCATCTTGTGTTTGTTGTGCGGCACCCTATTAAGGGTTTGTCGTGTGATGCCAATTAGCGCGTGAACCTCCAAGTGTGTGAATTGCCACAACAAGGACTAGCTTGCCGGCAAGCAAGTGAACCTCGGTAAAAGATCATTGTGTCATCATTTGATTCCGAGGTGATTGGTCTTAGTGCCATCCATGATGCTTTGGATGAGAGAATATTTGAGCAAATCAAGAACATTGAGAGAGCTCATGAAGCATGAAAGAAGTTGAAGGAATCATTTAAAGACACTCAAACCGTGAAGGGTGCAAAGGCATACATTCTCAAGGAGAAGTTTGCAAGCTTCAAGATGAAGGAGGATGAGAG